TTCCCCACAGGGCTCCAAGCTGGATTCCCTCCAGGCATTTCCTGCAACTTTATCACCAGTGGCTTGGGATGCTGCAGTCTGGTCTCACCTCACTCTCCAAAGATAGTGAGGAGGCTCTCGGCTGCTGGGGTCCTGAGTTGTTTGCATTTACACCCTCCACTTAGGTCCACCGTGTCCCTCTAACTTGTGCAGAGTTTCCTCTGACGTTTTCTCCCCAACTTTTCCCTGAAACTGCACTCTCTCCACTTTTCTCAAACTACCTTCTACTAGACTAGAGAAGTAAACCCTCCCTACTCCGCCATCTTAATCTTCAATCTGGTATTATCTGTTGTATCTTCTTAAAATATTTTAAATATTCTTTTTATTCTTTATTTACAAGATTTATTTACTTATTTGAAAATCAGATTTATAGAGGGAGAGAGAAAAACAGATCTTCCATCCAGTGGTTCACTCCTCAAATGGCTGCAATGCCCAGAGCTGGGCCGGGCTGAATCTAGGAGCCAGAGCTTCTTATGGGTTTCCCACATGAGTGCAAGGGTCCAAGGACTTGGGCCATCTTCTGCTGCTTTTTCCAGGTGCATTAGCAGGGAGCTGGATCAGAAGTGGAGCAGCTGAGATTGGAACCAGTGCCCTTATGGGATGCAGCACCCCTAGGCAGCAGCTTTACCTGCTATACCACAGCCCTTTCCTTTTATTCTGATAAAATGATATTCTTAGATAAACTGTCTATACTCATCCTTCTAAAAAATTAATATAAATGGGAAATCAATTTGTAGTAAAACATTTTTCAATGTGTGAATCCTAGGTCAAACTCAAATAGTAGTAGACTGCGGCTTATTATGTAGATGTAGCTTTAAAATAACTGAAAGCTCCAAATCTAGAATGATAGAAATGCAGCTTATTGTACTGACACTACTATTGACACTAGTGCATTGCTACTGGAATTATGGTGTCCCATAAGGGTAAAAAAAATAAGAGAAATTTTAAATAACATTTTATTTATGAACATAGTACTTTTATTCCTGGAAATGTCAATATACAATTAAGTTAAACCAAGGAACTCTTTGCATTTTCATTTTAGGAGTCCTGTTCTAGGCTACGTGTTTTGTAACCCGCACATATGAATGTCAATTGGGGCATTCTAAAGTCCACAAGATGTAGGACAATATTGTTTTAGACTGTTCATTTGCACTGTAGATTTGGCCATCATCTCTTACCATCCCTTAAGATTTATTTATATATTGAAAGGCAGAAATACAGAGAGAGAAGACGAGAGGAGAGAGAGAGAGAGATCCATCAGCTGCTAGTTCACCCCACAAATGGGTGCAACAGCCAGGGCTGAGCCAAGCCAAAGTCAGGAGCCAGGAGCTTCCTTGGGTCATCTACATAGGTGGCAGTTACGCCATCCTCTGCTTCCTTCCCAAAAGCATCATCAGGGAGCTGGATCATATGTAGAGCAGCTGGGCCTTGACCGGCACCCATATGGGATGCCAGCACCTCAGGCGGAAGCTCAATTTTCTATGCCACAGGGCCGGCCCCTTAGTATCCCTTATTAAATACCAGTAGTCAACCCTCCAAATCACTCTGATGACCAAAAAGCTTTCACAATATTCCAAATGTCTCCATCAATAAATACTGTGATACAGTTATGAATACAAAAATTTACTATAGCTTCTTGAGCAAAGTAGATAAAGTCATATTTGAAGAATATTATGCTAGCCAATTTCCACATGTGAAGGCCAAATTAAAAAAAGAAAAAAGAAGCAACATTTAAAAAAATTTGTTAGCAGTGATGGTTTAGAAATAATTTTTGCATATTATGTATACCTCATATGGCTGTGGATTTAATATCTCCACTCTTTAATTGCTGAGACAGAGGAAGCTCAAAGATGTCAAGTGATTTACTAAAAACTTTTAAAATAAAAGCTAGAGTTAGGATCCAGGTTTGCTTCAAAGCAAATACTCTTATTTCATAGCATTTTTAGGATGATGGAGGCAGACAAAGATTTTTTTTTAATTGAGAGACAGGTAAATAGAGCTGGTTCACTCTCTAAATTCCCACAAGATCCAGAACCAAAAGTTCAGGCTTTAAAATGTCCATGCAGAGACAGAGAAGCATCCCAAAAGGAGAAAGGGAAAAGCAGATACTAATGAGGATGGAGCAGCTATACCGAAAACCAGCTACTCCCAACAGTCCCATCACAGAAAGCAGAAGGCACTGGGGTGCTGCTCGTCACGGGGCAGCAGGTCCGATAGAGCTCCTCAGGGCCAGCCTGGGGAGCTCAGGGGCCGAGCCGGATGATGAGTGTCGGCCGCAAAGGAACCACACCACAGCCGGGAGATCAGTCAACACTCAAGGCGCAGCCAGGTTCTCAACTTTATTGGGAGGGGAAGAGCTTTTATAGACACAGAGAGGGGGCTGTCCAGGGCACAAGGGAACCGAGCCAACCAGCAGAAAGGTAAGGCAGGATGTGAGCCGGGCACACCCTGAAGGGCCTATCACAGCTGAGGACACATACCATGCACGAATACGGAAGTCTCCTGTCAGGCTAGGTACCTCCCCCGGGGGCCATCTTGGATTGTTGGAAACACTGAGTCACTGGGATGTGGAAGTGCCGCAAACTGGAGCAAAGGTTCAGTGGCCTTGTCGAGGGAAGGCTTAGCAACTTTGTTTCCTTTTCAATTGGAGCCCCTCACCCCCCGCACTGGGGCTGCCAGATGATAGCACTGTACTTCTACTGAATGCTGTTTGAGATGCTATTTTCTTAAATCAACCTTTATAAAAGTGTTGAGTATTGGTTCTGCTTTTTTTTCAAAAAAATATGACTTCTCGTTGTCTTATGTGGAAATGGTAAATACCATTAACACTTGTAGAATGTGTTTCATAAACTCAATTGAAATGAAGGAAAAATGTGATTTTCTGTGCTGACTTTTAAAGATTATTTTTGGTTTTCAAGACGGATTTCTCTGACATTCCCATGTTGGTCACTTTGGTACAGAAGCCTTAAAGTGCGGAGAGGTCAACTTTCCTAAGTTCTCCTTCCTGAATGCCATCAGTATAGACTTGACTTCCTTAAGCCAAGAAACTTGATATACTCTTGAAACCCCCAAAATAAACTTTTTGGACAGGTATTTGGCCTAGTGGTTGCATCACTGGTTAGGATGCCCATGTCCCACATTGGAATATCTTGGTTTCCACTGATTCAGACCTGGGAGTCAGTTCATGATGGCTTAAGAAACTAGGTTCCTGCCACCCACATGGGAGCCCTCAATCGATTTCCTGGCTCCTTTGTTCATTCCAGACCATACCCAGCTGTAAGGGGCATTTGAGGAGTGAACCAGTGCACAGGAGTGCTCTCCCTCTCTCTCACTCTCTTGCTCTGTCTCTCAAATGAGTTTTAAAAATCAAGTATGTTGGGGCTGGCGCAGTGGCTCACTTGGTTAATCCTCTGCCTGTGGTGTTGGCATCCCATATGGGCGCCGGGTTCTAGTCCCGGTTGCTCCTCTTCCAGTCCAGCTCTCTGCTGTGGCCCGGGAGGACAGTGGAAGATGGCCCAGGTGCTTGGGCCCTGCACCCCATGGGAGACCGGGAGGAAGCACCTGGCTCCTGCCTTCAGATCAGCGCAGCACCAGCCATGGCGGCCACTTGGGGAGTGAACCAAAGGAAGGAAGACCTTTTTCTCTGTCTCTCTCTCTCTCACTAACTCTACCTGTAAAATTAAAAAAAAAAAAATCAAGTATGTTAAGTAACAAAACTCAGATTTTCTGGTGATATCATCAAAATGATATCACTCAAAAGGTTCAGAATTCTTGTTTGTTGGTTGTGAATTCATCTCATCGAGAATCCTGAAAGTTTTAGTGCATTTCTTCCATGTCAGAGTTGGCCTGTGAAAACCTCTTACATGCTCAGAAAGGGTTGGGGGGGAGAGAGAGAGAGAATATGAATCTTCGATCTACTAGTTCATTTCCCAAATGCTTGCCAATAACTAGGGCTGAGCCAGGCCAAAGCTAGACATCTGGAACTCCATTGGGTCTTCCATATTGGTAGCAGGGGCCCAAGCACTAGAGCCATCATCTTCTGCCTCCTAGGCTGCATAAGCTGAAAGCTGGATTGGATGCACGGAGCCAGGACTCAAACTGGCACTCTGAAACAGGATTTAGACATCCCAAGTGATGGTCTAACCTGCTGCACAATGTCCACCCCTGATGCTGTCAACTTCTATGGTCACTTTTCTGGGAGGGGAGTTTGGAAGTTGTAAAATATTATAGGTTGTCACCTGTGTGTCCTGCCAGAAGTAACTGTTTTTGAAAAGTATCATATAAATCCAGAAGCAAGTTGGCTTGCTAGGGGGAACCACTTCCTACCTAATGTTATGAAGATATTCTTTAGAATCTTGGGAAAGTGTTAGTTTTCCTTTTCACATTTGTCTCTAGCCTACTCTGAACTGCTTTTTATGAAAGTGTTGGGTAGAATTTCAAGTTAATATTTTTTCATATGGATAAGCAGTTGTCCCAGCATCTTTTAGGGGAAACTTCATTTCCCCACTGATCTGTAACACTGGTTCTTTCACAAACCATATTTCTGGATGTGTGTGTGATGTGTTGATGATCCACTGGTAGATCTGCAGTACTAAAGATTACTGATTATTACAACTTTAGAGAAAGGGCTTAATAAGAACTAAGATCCCTCCATATTTTATCATAATGTTGACCAACCCTACTTCCAACTCCAATATCCCTATCAAAATTTTCTTCCTTGCAAGTGTCTTGGCTATCCTTAGCCATTTGCTCTTCTATACAATTTCTAGCACTAGACTAAAAAGTTCAAAATCAATTGTAAAAAAGTTGGGAGATCCATGTGATCTTTACAATGTTGTCTTCCAGTCCATAAACATAGTATATAGCCTACATTTATTTAGACTTCTAAAATTTCTTTCTGTAAAGTGTTTTCATTCTCCCCAAGATAATCTATTAACATATTATCCTGTCTTTTTCTTTAGGACATTAATTCACAAATGAATGACATAATGAACAATGTGCATCGAATAATGGCTCGCTACACTCTTGATTTTAACTTGCAGTCTGAAAGGAATACCTTCCTTAAAGAACATATGAAAAAACAGAGAACCATATTTTTGGATAAAATGGCTTCATATGCTAAGAATGCTGAAATGAGAGAGAAGACACTTGCCTACATTCTGGCCTGGTTGGAAGAATGGAGTAAGTTTCCAGAAGTGGTTCAGCAGAAAACCACAAAAGTTAGAGAAAAGAATGTATAAGTAAATGGTAAAAGATAAGTCATATTAAATAAAACAACACAAAGAGGTTGTTCAGAAAGTGGCTGTTCTCTTTTCCAGTAAGAATAAAATGAGAAAAATACAGATTTGTTCACTTAGTGCCCATTATTCTGGCTTCCTTGCTTTTCTTTAAGCACACCAATAATGCTCCTACCCAATGCCATGATATTTACTATTTTATTATCTGGAACATTTTTCTCTAGATAGCCACATGGCTTATTCCTTTAATAAATTTCACTTAAAATAAGGTGTTCTTGGCCGATGCCGCAGCTCACTAGGCTAATCCTCTGCCTGCGGCACTGGCACCCTGGGATCTAGTCCCAGTCAGGGCGCTGGATTCTGCCCAGGTTGCTCCTCTTCCAGTCCAGCTCTCCTGTGGCCTAGGAGGGAAGTGGAGGATGGCCCAAGTGCTTGGGCCCTGTACTCGCATGGGAGACTGGGAGGAGGCGCCTGGCTCCTGGCCGTAGCGGCCATTTTGGGGGTGAACCAAAGGAAAAAGGAAGACCTTTCTCTCTGTCTCTCTCCCTCTCTCTCTCACTGTCTAACTCTGTTAAAAATAAAATAAAATAAAATAATAAAAAAGATATCTTCCATCCACTGCTTTATTCTCCAAATGATAGTAACACCCAGGTCTGGGCCAAGAGGCAGGAATTCTATCCTGATCTCCCACATGGGTGGTAGGGCCCCAAGTACTTGAGCCATCATATGATGCCTTCCCAAGTTCATCAGCAGGAAGCTAGATTGGAAGCAAAGCAGCTGGGTCTCAAAATGCCATTCTAATATGAAATTCTGTCATTACAAGTAGTGGCTTAACCCATTGCACCACAGTGCCAGCACCAGAACTGTGTGTGTGTGTATGTATGTGTGTGTGCACACGTGCGTGCATGCGTGTATGTGTGTGTGTGTGTGTGTGTGTGTAAAATATATTTTCTTATAAAAAGGAATTTCAGGGGCTGACATTGTGGCAAGGCAAATTAAGCCACTGCTACAATACCAGCATCCCATGTGAGCACGGATTTCAGTACTGGGTGCTCCACTTTTTTTTTTTTTTTTTCATTTCAATGATTATTAAATAAAGCAATAATTTCAATGATACAAGAGATTAAGGTGATTGAAAATTATGGATAAATGAACAAATGAATGATTTGTTTTCCAATACCCTTTTTTGGTTTTTTAAAAAGATTTATTTATTTGAAATTCAGAGTTACACAGAGAGAGAAGGAGAGGCAGAGAGAGAGAGAGAAAAAGTCTTCCATCCGCTGGTTCACTCCCCAATTGGCCGGAGCTGGACTGATCCGAAGCCAGGAGCCAGGAGCTTCTTCCAGGTCTCCCACAAGGGTGCAGGGGCCCAAGGACTTGGTCCATCTTCCACTGCTTTCCCAGGCCACAGCAGAGAGCTGGATCGGAAGTGGAGCAGCCAGGACTCAAACCGGCACCCATATGGGATGCCAGCACTGCAGGTGGCGCCTTTACCCGCTATGCCACAGCTCTGGCCCCTCTAAAACCTTTTCAAATGATCAAATGGAGCAAAAACTTTAAACAAAAATACCTAAGTATGACTTTCCAGTATTTTTTAAAACTGCCTTTTTCTGTGCTCTTATGGAGCAAGCCATAATGAATTAAGGTTGGCTGTGTCCCAATTAAAACTTAGTTTAGGTCACAGAAATGTCAATTTCATCAAATGTTCACATATCACAAAATACTCTTAAAATACTTTTTAAAAACCCATTTAAAAAAAAATGGAATACACATCCTTAGCTCGAAGTCCGTACAAAAATTGACAGCAGGTAGAATTTGGTCATAGCTTGCTGACTTCAGCATTACCTCCCTGGGTTGATGGGAGTTTCCTGTTTGGCCAGATACACTTGCAATTCTACTGTCAAGTGAACTGGATAGAGTTTTCTCACCAGCTTTGCTTCTCACCCAACACTTTGTACCACCCTGCAGGCCTGGAGAGGAGGGAGCTCTATTTCGTGTTCTTATGGCAGGGGTGGCCCTCTATGCTTAGACTGTAGACTTAAGGGCTGTCATTTACAGGCACAGGCAGTGCTGTGAAGGGTTTGAGCTTTTTTTTAACAGAAAAATTTTCTTTAATAAATATAAATTTCAAAAGTACAACTTTTGGATTATAGCAGTGCTTCCCCCCATAACCACCCCCCCCATAAACCATCCCATCTCCCACTCACTCTCCCATCCCATTCTTCATTAAGATTCATTTTTCAATTATCTTTATATATAGAAGATTAACTCTATACTAAGTAAAGATTTCAACAGTTTGCACCCACACAGAAACACAAAGTGTAAAGTACTGTTTGAACACTAGTTGTACCATTAATTCACATAGTACAACACATTAAGGACAGAGATCCTACATGAGGAGTAAGTTCACAGTGACTCCTGTTGTTGATTTAACAATTGAGACTCTTATTTATGGCGTCAGTAATCACCCGAGGTTCTTGTCATGAGCTGCCAAGACTATGGAAGCATTTTGAGTTCGCCGACTCTGATCATATTTAGACAAGGCCATAGTCAAAGTGGAAGTTCTCTCCTCCCTTCAGAGAAAGATACCTCTTTCTTTGAAGACCTGTTCTTTCCACCAAGATCTCACTCACAGAGATCTTTCATTTAGGTAATTTTTTGCCAGAGTGTCTTGGCTTTCCATGTATGAAGTGCTCTCATGGGCTTTTTAGCCAGATCTGAATCTGGCTGCTCCACTTTTGATCCAGCTCCGGCACCTGGGAATCAACGGAGGATGGCCTAAGTGCTTGGGCCCTGTCATCCATGTCAGAGACCTGAATAGCCTTCCCAGGATCCTGGCTTCAACCTGGCTCAGCCCTAGCCATTGTATTGTGGGAGTGAACCAGCAAACGGAGGATTTCTATGCATGTGAGTCTCTCTCCCTTTCTCTCTCTCTCTCATCCCTTCCTCTCTGTAATAATGCCTTTCAAATAAATAAATCTTTTTTTAAAGTCAAAGTTATTTGAAATGTTTTTAAATTAAAAATAAAAGAATTTCATTTTGTTGCAAGAAATTTTGAGTAATGGCATCAGAAAATACAAGAATAGTGGCCAGCATTGCGGCACAGTGAGTTAAGCTGCAACTTGTGACACCAGCATCGCATTTGAGCATTGGTTTGAGTCCCAGATCTTCTGATCCAGCTCCTTACTATTGTGTCTGGGAAAGCATACGATGTCCCAACTGCTTGAGCCATTGACACCCACCTGAGAGATCCAGATGGAGTTCCTGTCTTCTGGCTTCAACCTGGTCCAGCCATAGCCATTGTAGCCATTTGGAGAGTGCACCAGCAGAAGAAAGATGTGTGTGTGGGGTGTGTGTGTGTGTGTGTGTGTGCGCGCGTGTGTATGTGTGTGTTTCCCTCTCTGCATGTAACTGTACCTTTCAAATAAATAAGATAAAACTAAATATTTTTTTAAAAAGGAAACACTAGACAACTTGCCAAAGGGATTGATTGGGATTTAAATACCCAATATTGAAGCAGTACTCACATTTTGATACCCACTTCCCTGGAGTATAGGAGCTAAACCCAAGAGACTCCTTTAAATTTGATTCACAAGTCTTACTGCCCAACCTCCTATTTAAAACCTGTTTTAACTTTTTTAAGAGAAAAGCCTCAGAATACCAGCAAGTGAAAGATAACTATACTCATATGCCTGAATACTACTATTTATTGAGAAGTTATCCAATATTATGAGGCTACACGGTTATAATTATTTTTATGCACAAAAATAATGTTTTACTCTCTTCAAGATGCTATTTTGTCTGACATAACCGCAACTGATATTGATGAGCACTACCATTGGATAGTACAAATGGAGCTATTTCCAGACACACTGAGAGCTATTGAGAACAATGTCAATATACTATGTAGAATTAGTACATCTTTCCTTGAAGAAAAGAAGAAACACAAGAAAAAAATACGTAAGTGTGTTTTATAACTTTGCAAAGAGTTTTATCTTTTCCAAAAATGAAGTTTTGTTGAGGTGTAATTGTATATCATAAAACTCATAGATATTAAATATTGGATTAAATTATTTTCACTAAATTTAGAGTTCTATTGATCATCATAATCCAATTTTAGAACATTTTCATTATTCCTTGTGTTCTTTTGCAACCAGTCTTCATTCTCATTCATTTCTCCAACCACCCACTAAAATAGATTAGTTTATTAGATCTACTTTCTGTCTCAAAATTTGTTCTTTATGGATATTTCATATAAATAGAATAATTAGGTCACTTATGTCTGCCTTCTTTCAACTAGCATGTTTCTGAGGTTCAGTCATGTTATAAGATATATCAGTAGTTTTTCCCTTTCAATTACTGATTGTATATAGCTGTCTACATGGATCACATTTTTAGACCCATTCACCGGTTTGTAGATACTTGGACTATTTCCACTCTTTTGGCCTTTATGAATAATGTTGCTATAAGTGAATATGGGTAAGTCTTTATGTGGATATATGCTTTCACTTATTTGGGGCACACATCTCTGACTAGAACTGCTGAGTCATCTGATCAATTTAGTTTAAACATTTAAAGAAACCATCGACTATTCCAAAGTGACTAAGTGACTTCATCATCTTGCATTGCCACCAGCAATGCAGGAGAGTTCAGTTTCTCCGCCAGTTCAGCAGCACTGTCACTGTCTCTCTTTTCCACTTTGATTGTTCTACTAGATCCAAAGTGGCATCTCACTGTCGTTTTAATTTGCATTTCCCTAGTGTAAGCAGTACAGATGATGTTGAACATCTTTTCATGTGCTTGTTAGTCATTCCTATATATTTTTGATGAATTGTTGAGTCAAATACAAGCTCATTCTTGTTACTGAGTTTGAAAATTTCTTTATATTTCTGGATGTAAATCCTTTATCAGAAAAGTGATTTGTGAATCAGACTGCAAAGGGTTTTTTGGTGCCTTATAGCCCAAAAATATTTGCTTTTGATGAAGTCCAATCAATCTACCAGTTATTTCTTTCATGAATTGTGATTTTAGCATTGTATTTAGAACTCATATCAGTCAGGACTCAATGAAGTGAAGCAGAACTAATGGATTATATATAATCCATATGCATATTGCACGATTGGGGAATATATTTTGTATGACTTCAATTCTTTTAAATTTATTAAGACTTGTTTTCAAGCTAACTATATGGTCTATCCCAGAGAATGGTCCATGCATACTTGAAAATAATATATATTCTGCTCTTGCTGTGTAGAGTGTCCAAAAATTGGTTTACAGTATTCAAGGCTTCTAAATATTTCCTGATTTCCTATTTTTGAACCCATTATTTGGATGAGAAAATGAATACCCCAACTATGATTTCTGAACTATCTATGTCTCTTTTATATTTTGTCAGTTTTTACTTTGTGTATTTCAGGGCTTGGTTGTGTATGCTTGTAATCATAAAAGTTTGGTGAAAGACTGACAGGTTATTATGGTAAAATGTCCCTTATTATCTCTATAAGTGCTATTTTTACTTTATTTAAGGTACACAAATTTAATGTATTTCATGCATACTAATTAAGGAACATAGTGATACTCCTCACTCTTCCCTCCCTCCCATCCACACTCCTAGCCTTCTTCCTCCTCCCTCTCCTATTCCCACTCTTAATTTTTACAAATGTCTATTTTCAGTTTACTTTATACTCATAAATTTAACCTACACTGAGTAAAGAGTTCAACAAATAGTATGAACAGAAAACACTGTTCAACAACAGTCAAGACAAGGCTGTAAACACATCATTGAATCTCAAAATGTCAATTTCACTCCTATGCATGACCTTTTAGGTACTTGATTATTTACTACAGATCAGGTAAAACATATGGTATTTGTCTTTGGGGGACTGGCTTATTTCACTAAGTACCATGGTTTCCAGTTGCATCTGTTTGGTTCCAAAAGACAGAATTTCATTTTTTGTGCTGAGTAGTATTCCACAATGTATATATACCATAATTTCTTTATCCAGTCATTAGTAGATGGACATCTGGGTTGATTACATATCTTAGCTATTGTTAATTGAGCTGCAATAAACATGGGGGTGCAGATCACTCTTTCATGTGTTGATTTTATTTCATTTGTGTAAATTCCCAGGAGTGGGATGGTTGGATAATATGGTAGGTTTGTATGCAGATTCTTGCAGTATCTCCACACTGTCTTCCACAGTGGGTAGACCAGTTTACATTCCCACCAATAATAGATTAGGGCACCTTTTCCCCAATGTCCTCACCAGCATTTGTTGTTTGTTGATTTCTGTATGAGATTCATTCTACCTGGAGTGAAATGAAACCTCATTATGGTTTTGATTTGCATTTCCCCGATGGCTAGTCATCCTGAGAAGTTTCCCAAGTGTCTGTTAGTCATTTGGATTTCCTTTTTTTGAAAAATACCTGTTGAGCTTTTCCCATTTCTTTTTTTTTTTTCTTTTTGACAGGCAGAGTGGACAGTGAGAGAGAGAGACAGAGAGAAAGGTCTTCCTTCTGCCGTTGGTTCACCCTCCAATGGCCACCACGGCCGGTGTGCTGCAGCCGGCGCACCGCGCTGATCCGATGCCAGGAACCAGGTACTTATCCTGGTCTCCCATGGGGTGCAGGGCCCAAGGACTTGGGCCATCCTCCACTGCACTCCCTGGCCACAGCAGAGAGCTGGCCTGGAAGAGGGGAAACCGGGACAGAATCCGGCGCCCCAACCAGGACTAGAACCTGGTGTGCCGGTGCCGCAAGGTGGAGGATTAGCCTAGTGAGCCGTGGCGCTGGCCTGAGCTTTGCCCATTTCTTAACTGGATTGTTTGTTTTGTTGTTGTTGAGTTGCTGGAGCTCTTTATAGATTCTGGATATTAATCCTTTATCAATTGTATAGTTTGCAAATATGTTCTCCCATTCTGTCAGTTGCCTCTTAACTTTACTGAGTGCTTCTTTGGCTGTGCAGAAGATTCTCAGCTTGATGTAACCCCATTTGTCAATTTTGGCTTTGATTGCCTGTGCTTCTGGGGTGTTTTCCAAGAAATATTTGCCTATGCCTAGTAATTTATTGGTATCAGGTCATAGATGGAGGTCTTTGATCCATTTTGAGCAGATTTTTGTATAAGGTGAAAGGTAGCAGTCTTGTTTCATACTTCTGCATGTGGATAACCAGTTTTCCCAGCACCATTTGTTAAAAAGACTGTCCTTGCTCCAGGGATTGATTTTAGCTCCTTTATCAAATTTAAGTTGGTTGTAGATGCATGGATTGATTTTGGGAGTTTCTATTCTGTTCTATTGGCCTATATGTCTTTTTTCTGACAGTCTCAGGCTGTTTTGTTTAAAATCATCTCATTTTCAAATATGGATAGTTTGAGTTCCTCCTTTATAATTTTTATCCCTTTGATTTCTTTATCTTGCCTAATGGCACTGGATAGAACTTTTAGAACCATATTGAACAGCAATGGTGAGAGTGGGCATCCTTGTCTAGTTCCAACTTAGTGGGATTGCTTCCAAATTTTCCCCATTCAATAAGAAGCTTGCTGTGAGTTTGTCATAAATTTTTGATTATGTTGAGGAATGTTCCAATTTACTTAAGGTTTTCACTATGAAAGGTTGCTGCATTTTATCAAATGCTTTTTCTGCATCTATTGAAAAAAATCATATGATTTTTGTTTTTCAATTTGTTAATGTGAAGTATCACATTTATTGATTGTGAATGTTGAATTATCCCTGTATACCAGCAATAAATCCCACTTAGTCTGAGTTAATAATATTTCTCATGTGTTGTTGGATTTGATTAACAAGTATTTGGTTGAGGACTTTTTGCATCTATGTTCATCAGGGAAATTGGTCTATTGTTCTCTTTGTTGCATGCTTACCTGTTTTAGGAATTAGGGTGATGCTGACTTCCTAGAAGGAGTTTGGGAGAATTCCTTCCCTTTCAATAGTTTTGAATAGCTTGAGAAGAATTGGAATTAGTTCTTCTTTAAAAGTCTGTTAGAATTCAGCAGTGAAGGGCCGGCGCCCTGGCTCACTTGGTTAATCCTCCACCTGTGGTGCCGGCATCCCATATGGGCACTGGGTTCTAGTCCTGGTTGCTCCTCTTCCAGTCAAGCTCTCTGCTGTGGCCCAGAAAGGCAGTGGAGGATGGCCCAAGTTCTTGGGTCCCTGTGCCCGCATGGGAGACCAGGAGGAAGCACTTGGCTTCTGGCTTCATATCGGCACAGCTCTGGCCATAGCGGCCATTTGGAGGGTGAACCAACAGAAGGAGGACCTTTCTCTCTGTCTCTCTCTCACTGTCTAACTCTATCTGTCAAAAAAAAGAAAGAATTCAGCATTGAAGCCATCTGGTCCAAGGCTTTCCTTTGTTGAGAAGGACTTTATTACTGATTCAATCTCCATATTGGTTACTGATTTGCTTATTTTTTCTATGTCTTCATGACTTAATTTTGGTAGATTTTATGTGTCCAGGAAGCTACCCATTTCTTCTAGATTTCCTGATTTATTAGCAATCAGCTTTTTGTAGTAATTCATGATGATTCTTTTTATTTCTGTGGTATCTGCTGTTACAGTTCCTTTTTCATCTCTGATTTTATTGATTTGAGTCTTCTCCCTCTTTTTTTTTTTTGTTTAATCAGGTCAATGGTGTACCAACTTTGTTATTTTTTCAAAAATCAGTTCTTCATTTCACTGATCTTTTGTATTGTTTTTATTTAGATTTTGTTATTTGTCCTCCTCCTTTCTGCTCCTCTCTGATTCTAAGTACTCCTATGATTAATCTTTTGAATTCTGAATCAGGCATTCCACCAATGTCTTCATCTTCATATTCTAATATTGACCCCTTGGGGGAAGGTGGTCATGTTGTCTTCCTTATTCTTGTTTCTTGATTTTTTTTTCATTTATTTTTAGACATTTGGGATGACAATTGCTTGTTTTTTCCTCTGATGGCTTTTATCTTTGAACTATGCCTCTGTGGCTTAGTGGACTGTGTGCTCTTTCAGTAAATACTCAGAGGTGTGTGTTGGATGTGTCCAGGGTGCTCTGTCCCACGCTCCAAGGTGGGCAAGTATCCAGGGTGACACCCAAGTTGGGCATGGTAGATCTCTTGTTAGCAGAAAGGAGGCTAGGAGCACCTCTTTTGGTGTAATCACACCCTCACCTCCTCTCTTCCAACCTGATCAATGCCCAGATGTTAGTATTGGTGCAATACTCATCCATGCATCTACATGAACCACACAAAGGATCTGTGAAGACTTCAATGTGAGACATTTTAATGTCCCACCCCAGGCAATCAGAGAGCTCTGAGCATGTGGAGCTAAACACAGTGATCGCCCAGAGACCCAGCTACAATCTGCTACCTCTAGTGCAGTCACCAAGATCCCACAGTCTTAGCACACAGGACTTCCACAGGCACGGGGTACAGAGGATCCACTCCACCCCACTAGCCTATCTCATCCACAGAGAGGCTGAAACATTCCCAAAGACAGCTGCTTGTTGGTCCTCAGCTTAGGCAGCTTGAGCCCCAGAGCCTAGGACATGTTGAGAGGCTGGGGGCTCCTCACAGTCCTACATGGGTACCCAACCCCCTGTCAGTCCTCCAAACCAGAATCAAAGTCAATTGGGGCCGGCACCGCAGCTCACTAGGCTAATCTTCCACCTTGCAGTGCAGGCACACCAGGTTCTAGTCCTGGTTGGGGCGCCGGATTCTGTCCCGGTCGCCCCTCTTCCAGGCCAGCTCTCTGCTGTGACCAGGGAGTGCAGTGGAGGATGGCCCAAGTGCTTGGGCCCTGCACCCCATGGGAGACCAGGAGAAGCACTTGGCTCCTGGCATCGGATCAGCGCCGTGCGCTGGCCGCAGCACACCGGCCGCGGTGGCCATAGGAGGGTGAACCAACGGCAGAAGGAAGACCTTTCTCTCTGTCTCTCTCTCTCACTGTCCACTCTGCCTGTCAAAAAACACACCAAAAACAACAAAATACATACCCCCCACATCAAAAATAAAAAAAAGAAAAAGAAAAATGCATCTGAAAAAAAAAAGTCAATGGGACTGCATATTTTTCCCTTTGATAAAATCCCTGGATCACACACAGGCACAGGAGCTGCCAGCCACAGCCCCTACTTGTTTCACAATGGTGCCTTCTCCTCAGAGCTTGCAGGGTGTGCACAAGAGCCTCTGCGGTACTGATGCCAGAATGGCTCCTTCTCTCTGCCCATTGCCAGGTGCGCGCACACAGCTGCTGCCACTGCTATTGCTGTCAAGATGGCGTCTTGCCCTCTGCAGTTGCTGGGCGTGCACACAAGAGATGCCACAGCTGCTACCTATGTCCAAAATGGCGCCTGCCCTCTCTCTGCCAGTAGCCGGGTGCCATTATTGGGGGTAGGAAGAGAGATAAACATGCCCCCTTTTTACACTAGGTTAGCAAGTACCCTGCCCCCCTCAAAGCTCCAGGCTGGACTCAAATACAGTATAGCCCGCCAGACTTTCCCACCAGCTATATCACCTGTGGCATGGGCTCCTGCAGTCTGAGCTCACTTTGTTCTCCAATACAGGCACTCTCTCCAGCTCAGGGCTGCTGGGGCCATGTGGTGTTTGCGTGCTCTTTGCTGCATGCCCATACCTTCCACACAGATCCATGGCATCCCTCTTCCTTCCATAGAATTTTGACTGCAGTTTTTCTCTAACTCTCCCCTTGAGAATGTACTTTCTCCACTTTTTTTCTTACTGATTCCCTCTAGCATAGAGCAGTTTGCCCTTTCCCTACTCTCCCATCTTGGAATCCCTCTAGAACTATTATTTTTATATTAAAGTCTATTTTGTCATATACTAGTATAGTCTTCTCAGCTCCCATGTTGTTACTGTCTTCAAAGTGTATCATTTTCTGTCATTTTACTTACAATCTGTGTATTTGAATCCAAGGTATATCACTTCTAGTTGGGCCTTTCTGGGACTTTTTTCTTTGGACACACATCTGACAATCCAGGTCTCCCTCACAAGTGGCAGGACTCAAATATTCGAGTCATTGCTCTTTGGGGGAAATGTTGCTCTGTTTCTCACTCAGCCATTCTGTAAATTCCATTAAATGTCTGTCTTTTATCTGTTTCTTTATGAATCTTTCAATAAACAAAAGGTAGAAAAGAGGAACAAGAACACAAGAGAGAAAAATGAAAGCATCAAGCATACCAAAAGTCAAGGGAAGTTTGGGCTTACATTATATGTCATCCTGAAGTTGTGAATGAGAGTTAAGGTCATGGCTGTGTTCATATCCTTAACTCTAGAAGTAGAAGTTCTAGATGATTGTAGAAAAGCAGTCATTCTTTTAAAAACAGAAAAATGTTTTCTGATCAATCTTCAACCAATAGTTATCTGTCAGTCTAAATTCTTTAAGCACAGAGTATAGCACAGAAGGATAAATGCAATCTCACTGTTTTGTGTTTTTTTTCTTCCAGTATCAAGAGGTGCTCTATGGAAAAATTGGAAAGAAAGAGCTATAAAACGACCTGCAACAACCCATGCTTTAAGACCAGATCAGATGATTGCCGACCAATTTGCAATAAATACAAAAGTTTCAGAAATTCAAAATATGCTGCAGGAACTCATAGGCACTGGAATATTCAACAAATTAGAAAACACTGCTATTAAATACATATCATCCACAATACTAAATCTTTTAAAAGCCTTGACTGTCGTAAATGATGAATTAAAAATTATTAACATCCGAAGTGGTAGTATATTTACAGAGACATATGTAACAGAAAAAGAGCTGTCCCTAAAGATGATTCAAGACCTTAGTCAACAAAATGAGATACTTCAACAAAAATTGCAAGAGGCAGAAGAAAACTATGAACAACTCATTCAATTCAAAGGTATTACAGACCGCCAAGAACATACACCACTACCTGTATCCACAGCCATTATCAAAGATGATAACATGGAGGACAGTATGGATAATATTTTATACAAAGAATTTGAAAACATTGCTGGTGAGTTCAAAATAAAAGATAAGAAAGCCCCTGGGAAAAAGTGGTTCTCCAAGCTTTCACACGCAGCCCCAGACGACATGACTCCAGATGTGACTGCACAGCACCCTGTACCTGAAAACCAGAAAAGAGCTTCCAGGGTTTCTGAAGAAATTACTGAAGATAAAATGCCACTGAAGAAAGATGATGTCTCTCAGAAAGATGGGGCTGGTCAGTATCAACCACAGCAAAGAAAGTATACGAAAGGCCCTCAGGTAGAGGAGACCTCTAGGTCAAAGCTGAGGGAGGATGTCGGTGAGGATATAGGATTAGAGGCCAAACCTAATCAGTACTCCATGCTACAAGTGCCAGAAAAGAAGAGAAAAGAAATAAAACTATCTTCTGAAATCAAATCAAAGTCAGTCACTGAATCAAAAAGTCAACACTTCCTTCCCACTGAGACAAAGAGCCGGGATGGCAAAAGTAGAACAAGCGGTATGCAAGAGAAACCCAGAAAACTCAAAACCAGATCTTTAGTAGACAAGAGTTCAGTTTTGCTAGAGGATACTGAGTCAATAGACAAACAGGGGAAAAGTGAAAGTGACAGCTTATCAGAGTCACTCAGTATGACCCAAGTGAAACACACATCTATGCCGCTTAAAGCTGAGATCGAAGGAAAGACACAGCAAACCTCTTCAAGCACTACCATAAGCAAAGAAGGAAAAACTAAAGGAAAAGAAATGCTAACCAAGTCCAAACTTGATAAATCGCACTCAAGGACAGCTAAAGTGACTCCAGAAACTATCCAAGATCTAGGAGCTTCAGAGAGCAAAAGTGAACGGAGTAATGTAGAAGCGTTTCAGAAAGCCATAATGAATTTCTTAAAGGAGAAAATTAATAACATACAAAAGCCCTCTGATAGAAGCACCATGCTGAAAGAGGAGGGGGAGGAGGAGGAGGAGCTATTACAAACAGCAGAAATTGAACAATTAGGGATCATAAAAGAAAAGATAGAGGAATATTTCAAAAATGTAACTGAAATTGTTACTAACATCCTGAGGAAATATCAGGTTTCAAAGAAGGAAGAACAGGTTGAAGAGAAACCTATGAAAGAAAAAAAGGAAGCTTCGTTTAAACTGGCATCGCATTATCCGAAGTCATCAATTACTACTGCAGAGTCCGAAATTAGCACCTTCCTCTCCAATGAGAGTGTAGATCCCGCAATTAAACATTTAATACAAGTGGTTTTAACTGAAATGGAGACTGCAAGAGATGCTACAGCTCTCCCCACAGTAGCGAAAGACCTGAAGAAGGAAAAACAAAAGCAGGAAGAATATTTAGAAGAGGATCAAGAAAAAATATACGAAGAAGCAACTCTCCATAAGAAGGATTATAAAAAAATCCATAAGACCTTGAGGAAGAAAAAGGAATTGTTCCAGAAGGAGGAGGAAAGCCAAGGGCAGGAGAAGGAGAAGCAGGGGCCGGAGGAAGAGCTGTGGGCGGAACAGCAGAAACAGAGGCTCCTGAAGCAGACTGAGCAAGAGGAGCAGCACAGGGAAACGGGAAAGGAGAAGGAATGGAGGGCCAAGCAGCAGGAGGAGGCAGGCAAGCAAACCACGAAAGAGGGAGGCGCGCTCTTGGAGAGGGAGAATGAAGAGGCGATGAGCCAGGCTCCAAAGGCAGCGAGACACCCGGAGCCGAAAATGAGAGGAAAGAGAGAGAAGCAGAAGCCAAGTGGAAGGGTAGAGAGCCTGGAAGGGCAGAGGGAGAATGAAGCAAAGGATCAGAAGTTGAAGGGGAAAGAATCTGAAGAGCGCTTTCGAATGGAGGCCCAGACTCCCGCAATGTTAGATGAATCCCAGTTACACCACGGAGACAACTTCTACAGAATCTTAGAGCTGCTTCGGGGGACAAGTGGCTCTCCCGCCTCCACCCAGTCCTCACCATATGCAGCCCTTCCTATTTATCCAGAGCCCCTCCCAACATACCAAACTCTCACTCCTCAGCAGGCCCAGGACCTGATGACCATTCTAGCTCCTCAACAGGTCCAGGACCTGACAACCCCTCTGATTCCCCAGCAGATCCAGGCCCTGGGGACCACTCTGACCCCTGCACAGGTCCAGGCACTGAGAAACATTCTGTCCTCACCACGGGCTGTGGCCCTGGGGCCCATTTTAACCCCTCAGCAGGTTCAGGCCCTTGGGACCACGCTAGCTCCTCAGGAAGCCCAAGAACTGGGGGCCACCTTGACCCCTGAACAGGTCCAGGTGCTGGGAACCATTCCGTCCCTGCCACAGGCTGAGGCCCTGGGGCCCACTTTGACCCCTCAGCAGGTCCAAGCCCTAATGACCACTCTGACCCCTGCACAGGTCCAGGCCCTGGGGACCATTCTGTCCCCACTACAGGCTGAGGCCCTGGGGACTATTCTGACCCCTCTGCAGGCCCAGGCCCCAGTGACCACTCTGACCCCTGCACAGGTCCAGGCCCTGGGGACCACACTGACCCCTGCACAAGTCCAGGCACTGGGAACCATTCTGTCTCCACCATGGGCTGAGGCCCTGGGGACCACCCCAACTCCTCAACAGTCCCAGGCCCTGACAACCACCCCAACTCCTCAACAGTCCCAGGCCCTGACAACCACTCTAACTCCTCAACAGTCCCAGGCCCTGACAACCACTCTGACTCCTCAACAGTCCCAGGCCCTGACAACCACTCTAACTCCTCAACTGTCCCAGGCTCTGACAACCACACTGATCCCTCAGCAGGCCCAAGCCCCAGTGATCACTCTGACCCCTGCACAGTTCCAGGTGCTAGGAACCACTCTCACCACTCAGCAGGCCCAGGCCCTGACAACCACTCTAGCTCCTCAGGAGGTCCAGGGCCAGGGGCCCACTCTGACCCCTCTGCAGGCCCAGGCCCCAGTGACTACTCTGACCCCTGCACAGGTCCAGGCCCTGGGGACCATTCTGTCCCCACTACAGGCTGAGGCCCTGGGGACTATTCTGACCCCTCTGCAGGCCCAGGCCCCAGTGACCACGCTGACCCCTGCACAGGTCCAGGCACTGGGATCCATTCTGACTCCACAACAGGCTGAGGCCCTGGGGCCCACTCTGACCCCTCAGCAGGTCCAGGACCTGACAACCACTGTGATTCCTCAGCAGATCCAGGCCCTGGGGACCACACTGACCCCTGCACAGGTCCAGGCACTGGGAACCATTCTGTCTCCACCATGGGCTGAGGCCCTGGGGACCACCCCAACTCCTCAACAGTCCCAGGCCCTGACAACCACTCTAACTCCTCAAGAGTCCCAGGCCCTGACAACCACTCTAACTCCTCAACAGTCCCAGGCCCTGACAACCACTCTGACTCCTCAACAGTCCCAGGCCCTGACAACCACTCTGACTCCTCAACAGTCCCAGGCTCTGACAACCACACTGATCCCTCAGCAGGCCCAAGCCCCAGTGATCACTCTGACCCCTGCACAGTTCCAGGTGCTGGGAACCACTCTCACCACTCAGCAGGCCCAGGCCCTGACAACCACTCTAGCTCCTCAGGAGGTCCAGGGCCAGGGGCCCACTCTGACCCCTCTGCAGGCCCAGGCCCCAGTGACCACTCTGACCCCTGCACAGGTCCAGGCGCTGGGATCTATTCTGTCTCCACCATGGGCTGAGGCCCTGGGGACCACCCCAACTCCTCAACAGTCCCAGGCCCTGACAACCACCCTAACTCCTCAACAGTCCCAGGCCCTGACAACCACTCTAACTCCTCAACAGTCCCAGGCCCTGACAACCACTCCAACTCCTCAACAGTCTCAGACCCCAGTGACCTCTCTGAGCCCTGCACAGGTCCAGGCTCTGGGAACCACTCTCATCACTCAACAGGCCCAGGCCCTTGGGACCCTATTCAGCCCTCAGCAGTCCCAGGCTCTGATGACCACCCTGATGCTTCAGCAGCCCCAGGCCCAGGGGACCCCTCAGACCCCTCAGCAGATCCAGGTCCTTGGAACAACTCTGACCCTTCAGCAGGCTGAAGCCCTGGGGACCACTGTAACCCCTCTGCAGGCTAAGGTCCTGGAGCCCACTCTCACTCCTCAGCAGGCTCAAGCCTTGGGGACAGCTGGGGCTGAGGGCCTGAAACATACACTGACGCCTAAGCAGGCACAGGCCCTGGAAACAATTCTGACCCCTGAGCAGGCCCAAGTCCTAAGGAACACACTAATGTCTCAACAGGCCGAGGCCCTGGGGCCCACGCTTACCCCTCGGCATGCCCAGACTCAGGGGACCCCCTTTATCCATGAGATGTACCAGGGTTTGGATATGGCACCCACTCATGATCAGGCCAAGGCATTGCAGGCTCCTCTCACTCTGGAACCAGCCTTGAAACTGAGAGTCCCTGGTGCCCCTCAGTATGCCCAGACACTGAAGACAGCTGGCACTTTACAGATCCAGGCAAGGCAAATCCCACTAACTGTGAAACCGACTCAGATATTTGGGGTCCCTGGCACTCAAGAACAGGCTGAGCTTGCCCAAGCAATTGGAGCCACCCTCACTCCTGAGCTGGCTCGGGCAACAGAGGTCCCTCTCACTTTTACTCAGGGACAGTCCTCAGGAGTCTCTCTTATACCTGGGGCCCCTCCCACTCCAGGGCAACCCCTTGAGCTGGAGGCTCTTAGCTGTAGGCAGTTATTTCTGTCTAAGCACCCTCTGGCCCCTCTGGCTCCCAGGCGGTCTCTTAAATCAGAACTCCCACCCTTTTCTGGAAAGATTCCCAGTCACTGGGCTCCTCTCCCTTCTTGGCAGTCCTTGGCTCCTGGGGCCCCTTCCACCCATGAAGAACTCTTGGAATCTGGACCCTTAGCCTTTTCCGGGAAGCCTCAGGCTTTCTTACCTTCTGTCTCTGCTGTAAAGTCTCCCTCTCTGCAAGCCACTGCTGCCCTCGGACAGTCCCTGGCACCGTCGGCTTTCCCTGGGCAAGCCTCCCCACCACAGATCCCTCCCCTTTCTGGGCATCTCCCCACATTATGGACCCCCTCCGTTGCTGGAAAGCCCCAGAAAGCTGAGTCCTCGTTTGATAGAAAGAAAAGATCGACATCTGTTTCCTTTCTGAAATCGCAATCATCATTGGTCCAACACAGTGTTCCAGATTTCAAGGCAATTCAAGCTCCTTTCACTGCGAAGAAGATCCGCATTTCCGAGGTCTCTGTCACTGCTGAAGAAACATTTCAGTCCTATATCACCAGTGACAGGGCACCGGTGTCACACACCTCTTACATTGAGGAGGAGGCTCTTATTCCGCAGAAACCTAGGACAACGCTACCTCCTCTCACTGCGCGACTGCTGAAACCATCGCAGTTACCAGCTCTGCAGAGGCGCTTGAGAACACGACTGCCCTCTATAGACAAGCCTTGGATCAAGACTTCAGCTTTAGGTATCAAGGAGACCAAAATGATGGTGCCCCCCTCCTCTCCTCAAGAACCTGAAAAGATGACGTATTTTGTTGATGTGGACGCTCAGAGAAAGAACCTGATACTGTTAAATCAGGCCATAAAAACTTCCGCAGCTCCTTCACAGCTACACGTAACAGCTAGGAACCTCATAATTGAGACCCTTCATGCGGACGCCATTCGGCTGGGATTCCTGTTCCACAAGTACATAGCCTACAGGCTGATCCAGCGTGCCAGGTAGATAATTCCCTAGTTGTCTAGTGTCATATGCACAATTTTCTGATACAGTTCTGATATCAAATATCCTCCCTCATTGCCATAGAAGTATATTCATATTTGTCAGATCGAAAAATCCTTTTATAGAGGTTTTATTTTCTTTTATTTTCAGGTTCCAAAAAAAAAAAAAAAAAACTTTTATAGAAGGTCTGTGGAAGGGAACCCTGTTTAAGACAGCAAAAGGAAACATGTCTTTAGGGAACAAGAAATGGCATATAACATGACCCACTTCATTTATATCTCTAGTAGAGATGATAAGATATGTCTGGTGGATCATAAGCTTTAAGATTTATCAATATTCTTAATAATGCTTGGTGCTTTCTCAAGAAAGGCTCTCTCTCCAATCTAAGATATATTTAAATTTTTCTGGTTTCTTTTGACCCTTTTTAGGTTGGTTATTAGGTTTTTTGGTTTATCTTCTGGTTAAGTCTGATTCTAAACTTCCTACCTTAAGATACTGACCTTACTTTTTTTTCCTATAAGGTTACTTCGTTGCACCATCACCCTTTATAAAATAATCCAATTTTCTCTCTACTGATTTGAATGCACCTTTATCATAAACTTTCATACAATTTGGAACCACATTTGGGATTTTTATTATTTTCTATTGCTCTATTGATGAGTGACTTCCATACTATATTATTTATTGTAGTTTCTTTAAAAGAATACATACTTTAATTGGAGAGGTGAAGAGATCTCCCATCTGCTGGTTCACTCCCCAACGTGCCCACAATAGCCTAGACTGGGCCAGGCTGAAGTCAATAGCACAGAACTCAATCCACGTAGGTGGCAGGGGCCCAATGACTCGACCCATCACTTGCTGCCTCTTAGGGTGCACACTTCTGGGAAACTAGACTTGGGAGCAGAGTCAAGACTCAAACCCAGGCACTCCAGAATGGGAAGTGGGTGTCCACGTGGTTTCTTAACCACTAGGCCAAGCACCCATGCTTGTAGTTTTATTTTTATGATGCTGAGTCTTTGCAGTAGTTATTATTGCTGTTTCCCCACATGTGTCATTGAGATGTGAGCAGAATTAATGTGTCACTTATGGGCTGAGCTTTTCATTGCTGGTTAAAGACCCTCTAGAACAAGACCCTTCTTCTGGTATGATAACCTTCGATGTACAAGGAAATGGCTATTCTGCTTAGGCTTTGTCCTGAGAGAATACAGCAAAGCTCCCTCCCTGCAGGATGGCATAGGATTCATTGTGTGATTGCCAAGTAAGCTTTTAGGATTTTGGGAGTTATTTGTTAAAACAGTAAAATCTAACTCATCTTAACTAATATGGTCTTCCTATTCAAGACTGTGGTGTACCTGTCTTTTCCTTGATGCTTTGTGTGAGAATTTTAAAATCTTCATCTAGCCCTTGCATATCCCTTTGTATTTTTTTTATTTTTTTGGTGTTAATATTACAAATGAAATCTTTTCTTCTATGATATTTTTGAACTGGTTATTTGTTTAAACGTTTCCATTATGCATGTAGCCATTTTACTGAATTCAAGCATGTGAAAGTTTTTACACCGATTTTCTTGAGTTTTTGAGGTATGCTATCTCACCTATAAATAATTTTTGCATCTAGATTTTCCAACTTTTTGAAAGGTAGTGTTACAGAGAGAAGGAGAGAGCACTTCCATATGCTGGTTCACTCCCCAAACAGGCACAATGGCTGGGAATTGGACCAATCTGAAGCTAGGAGCCAGGAGCTTCTTCTGGGTCTCCCACATGGTGCAGGGGCCCAAGGACTTGGGCCATCTTCTGCTGCTTTCTCAGGCACATTAGCAGAGAGCTAGATCAGAAATGGAGCAGCCAGGACTCGAACCATCACCCATATGAGATACTGGTGCTGCAGGCGACCACAACCTGCTGCACCACAGGACTGGCCCCAATTTCCCAACTTTTAAGCATCAAATTTCTTTTTTTAACGTTTATTTAATAAATATAAATATCCAAAGTACTACTTTTGGATTATAGCGGCCTTTCCCCCCATAACCTCCCTCCCACCAGCAACCATCCCATCTCCCACTCCCTCTCCCATCCCATTCTTCATTAAGATTCATTTTCAATTATCTTTATATACAGAAGATCTACTTAGTATTTACTAAGTAAAGATTTCAACAGTTAAGCATCAAATTTCTGTCTCTTGTATATGAATTGGTTAGCACCCCCAAAACTTTAACTATAACGGTGACATGGAGATAGGCACAGCAGTTGAGCTATCGCTTGGGACTCTGCAATCCATATCAGAGTGCCTGGGTTTGAATCCCAGTTTGCTCCTGATTCCAGCTATCTGGTAATGAGTACCCGAGAAGCAGCAGGTGATGGCTAAAGTGGCTGGGTTCCTGCCCTTCACGTGGGAGTCTTGAATTGAGTTTCCACCTCCTGGCTTTGGCCTGATCCAATCCCAGCTGTTGAAGACATCTGGGGAGTGACCCAGCAGATGGAAGCACTCTCTCTTTCTCTGCCCTTCTCTCTCCCTCTGTGTGTGTGTGTGTGTGTGTGTGTGTGTCTGTCTGTCTGTCTCCCTGTCTCTCTCTGCCTTTCAAATAAATTAAGTAGATAAGTAAAAAAAAAAAATTAAAGCTATCCACAAAGCTATCCATGGTCATTTTACTTGCCCTTAGTAACAGCTAGGAGTGCCTTTCCATGGCCACATGTTTGTTTTGTTTTGTGCTGGTTCACATCTTAAATGGCTATAACAGCCAGCCTGCAGACAGGCTAAAGCCAGGTGCCAGGAACACCATCTAGTTCGCCCATGTGGTTGAAAAGAACTCAAGTACTCTAGCCATCATCTGTTGCTTCTCAGGTGCATTAGCAGGGAGCTGGATTGGAAGCAGAGTAGCCAAGACTTGATCTGGCACTAGCTACAGGAATCAGGCATTTTAAGTGGTGGCTTAGCCCACAATGCCACAGGTTTGCCATGTTATTTTTGTACAGCAAAATTTCATCTTCAAGAGTTTTTAGGGTGATGGCAACAGCGGTGGACTTGGAGCCTAGCCCAGCTCACCCTAGTCAGCAAAGAGTCCATGGGCCTCGGGGCCCAGCCATGGCCTCAGAGTCCATGTCCAGGTTGGTGCAGATCCTCAACTACAACTTGCTGCCAGCAGGGGCCAGAGCTGGGGCCAGCAAGTGCAGGGCAGGCAGCACAGCCACAACATCGAGGTGGTGCTGGCCAGCCAGCTGCACCGCCATGTGGCACCTTGCCAAGATCCTGCTGCCAGGAGCGGGTGAGAGTGACAGTCCATGTTCCTGAAGCAGAGGTACATCCTCCATGACCGTGAGTTCGACCAGAAGCCACTGCTTGAGTTCCCTGATGCCATCTTTGACACAAAGGCTTCTGTTGATGCATGAAACAAGCTTGGTATTCTTTGGCAGTATTCTCAAAATGAAAAGCATGGCATGTTCTTGATGGCCTTTGAGACACACAAAGCAGGACTGCCTGTGGAGTCTGCCACCGTGCCTGCCCTGGGCGCGCTCCACAGGGGCTCTGGCATCCAGGAAGCTATCCGCCAAGGAAGCAAGTTTCAGCTGGGTGAATCAGTGAAGTACTTCCCATCAACCTGGACCAGATTGGCCAGCTGAATTACCTCCCCAGTTAGTAAGACATCCTGTTGGGGAGGAAGGCCACCAAAAGGATCATGGAGCATGACTTCATTATTTTAAAAAACTCCCTTCAAGGCCGGCGCCGCGGCTCACTAGGCTAATCCTCCACCTTGCGGCGCCGGCACACCGGGTTCTAGTCCCTGTCGGGGCGCCGGATTCTGTCCCGGTTGCCCCTCTTCCAGGCCAGCTCTCTGCTGTGGCCAGGGAGTGCAGTGGAGGATGGCCCAAGTCCTTGGGCCCTGCACCCCATGGGAGACCAGTACCTGGCTCCTGCCATCGGATCAGCTCAGTGTGCCAGCTGCAGCGTGGCAGCCGTGGCGGCCATTGGAGGGTGAACCAACAGCAAAGGAAGACCTTTCTCTCTGTCTCTCTCTCACTGTCCACTCTGCCTTTCAAAAAAAAAAAAAAATTCCCTTCAAGATGGTAGACGTGGCTGGCCAGTGGTCTCAGTGCTACAGGTGGTTCCGGGCCTTTGCTTTGATGGGATCATGTCCATCCTCTTCATCTCCTGCAGCGAGTACCAGGCCCTCATGGAGGACAAGCCCACCAACCGGCTGGTGGAGTCACTAGCCTGTGAAATCTTTGAGACCACAGTCAACAAGATCTTCTTCCACCCCTCCACAATTGTCTTCCTCAACAAGACAGACCTCCTGGTGGAGAAGGTGAAGACTGAAGGCATCAAGAAGCACTTCCCAGGTTTCAAGGGCCACCAGCCCGGGGCCCAGGATTTTGACAGAAAGAGATGGGATCACGGAAAGCCCCTGTGACACCACTTCACTGCGGCCATAGACACCCAGAACACCAGATCTCTTTGGCGTGTATTCTGTCTTTCAGTGGCTGTCTGAGATCCATGCCATCGAAAACCTGGCTTGTGAATGCTGCCAGACCGGCCGCACCAGGGCACTCGAGGCAAGAGCACCCTGAACCAGGGGATGTTAGCTACTGAATCCTGGGGACTGTGAAACTACCGAAAACACCGGCAATTACTTTGGTATTAATGTGTGATACTTAATAACACAAGTTTCTTTTTACTAAAACTTTATTCCTTTTCTGACACAATTTAATCAAGGATTGTGTGTATCATGCACATACAAGCACACTCTTTAATGACAAAAAAAAAAAAAAAAAAGGCAGCTGTAACTTGCAAGTCTTCACCGGGACAAACTAACCTGGAAGCATTGCCTTCCAGTAGCTGTAGAGATGCTTGCTGGTGCTGCTAACCTCAGAGTGCCCAGGCAGCCTGGTCACTGGGTCTGACTGCCACCTCCCGAAGGGAACACTGTCTTTTAAAACTGCCTTTTAAAACTCTCGTACCAGGGGCTGGTGCCATGGTTCACTTGGTTAATCCTCCACCTGCAGCA